AATAAAATGAAATATTAAAATCACGATGTATCTCGCTGCATTGCGCGAGTATGCTTCTAGTATATATATATATATATATATATATATATATAGTTTGTTTCAAATGTATATATATATATATATATATATATATATAGTTTGTTTCAAATGTAATGGATTGTATAATAATTCACCTCTATACATACACACACACACACACACACATATATATATATATATAGAGAGAGAGAGAGAGAGAGAGATGGGTTCACTTGAGACAACCTGTTTTCGTGAGACCTACGAGAACACATTTTTAAACTTGAAACTTTATAGCAAAACGCTGTGAAGGTAATTTTCACAGAGTTTTTACTGTGAAAGTTAGGCTTTTTTATTTTTTTCACGACGTTTTGCTGTGAAGTTTCAAATGTAAAAATATGGTTTCACGAAAACACGGTTGATCTCACGTGAACCCAACCCTATATATATATATATATATATATATATATATATAATTTTTAGTTCCATTTTTTGGTATTTTACATACAACTAAATACTAATGTATTAAACATGATTAAAAAACGTGAAAGTAATAATATACTTTTTCCCACAATCAATCTACATAAGTAGAAGTTGCATGAGCAAATAGAAACCAAAAGGAGAAAGCAATATATATATATATATATATATATATATATATACACACACACACACCATTTATTTTAAAGATAACTATTATTATTAAAAACGATTTAAACTTATAACGTTTGATGAAATACCGTATAAGCCAGTCTAAGTGTCGGTTTTCATTGACGAAAAACCGTATAAGCTAAACAGGTGTTGGTTTTCATTTGGTGCTAATACAACTGAAGTCTAGCACCTAAGGTTATTGCCGGTTCCGACACCAAGTTGTTTACAGTAATCAGTATAATACGAGACACGGGAGCTCACGGTTTTAGGGTCCCCACCATCACATTCTACCCTATTGATGGCTCGGATTGTAGCTCCGAACCCATTACCAGAAGCAAAATCCCAGTGAGCGTTCTCCATCCAATACCATAAGGCGGTCTTGAATGAAACCACCGGATCTTTAGCCACGATCTCAGGGTTGTTGAGTCCATCAAACCCAAGGCTCTTTCCGGCTGCACCGTAGTTGTAGTTCCATGAGAGTTGGATCGGACCTCTCCCATGGTAACTCTTTCTAGGGTTGCATGGATATTTAGTGTTGGTCTTGTCGCAGTACTTTCCTGAACGACCAGTTATTTCTTCTATATAACAAAAATCTGTACATTCATGTATGAAAAGTCAAAATTAACTACATATTTCGACTATTTAATTATTAATCTAACACTTTTGTTAAATTATGTGATAGGATAAATATTATACACGTTATATTCGTGTTTGGTTTAAAGATGTTCACGTACAAAATGACCCGTTAAAGCATAACCATATTGCTAGAAAAGCGGGCCAGATTGGACATCCATATATTCTTGAAAACATGGTGACACCGGTCTGGTGCTTTAAGATTAATGGAAATATATGAACGATTGTAAAAACAAAATCCGTAAGACCCGCCTAACCCGTTGATATCTTTTCACAGAAATATAATTAATTAGAATTTTTAATTTGTAATTTATTTATCTTCTGTGAAGATCTCGAAAAGAAATTTTTTAATTTTTACGTGTATTTTTTGTTTCACAAACACGCCAAAAAGGTTCACATTGTGAACCGAATACATGTGAAACAAGCTCATTGTGAAACAAAATGTATGTTAAATACTATTTTAAGTTCTAGCCATTATTAAGAAAATCATATAAAATAACACATGATTCACAGATTCTTAGAGATCTCACGATTTAGAGAATTCTCAAAAGATAGTCATCCGTAGGCCCGTTATCCTGTAGACAAGTCCAGCTCATTTATAGGACGGTGGATAAGGTCAGGCAACTTATCATTTATTGGGTCTGTATGTAATTGACCCAAACCCGCAAATGACCACTTTTTAGCTTGGTTATATCAAGACTAGTAGTTGGTTAAAATTAGAAAACCTTAACGTCATACTTACATCCGGTCTCAAAAGAAGCATGAGCAAAGAAAGCCGCGATTTCCCTTTTCGAATCATCGATCGAACCGGATCTAGCAAAATGTGGGTAGTCTCTTATGACTTTAAGAAACGCATCCCGTGTGTAAAAACCTCTCCCGGGACAGTTCCTTGCAGACTTGGCAATAATCCTATTAAAAAATGGCAACGTCACTATACCAGGGATGGAAGCATTATTTACACGAGCACGTAGAGAACACGGGCCACTTTGACAGCCTTTTCCACAATAAGCGGCTCCGGTGCCACAGTAACCATACTGGCTACAACACAAGTTCCGAGCACACTTACAATTCTGACACGTAACCGGCTCCGGGAGGAAGATTCCGGCAAGGAATATTCCGGCGAACAGAAGGGTTATTTTCATTTTGTTTTTGTGGGTGTTTGAAAAGGAAGGTGGAAGAGGGGTACTTATCGGGGTTGAAAGTCTCCCATTATTTGTTTTTGGTAGAAAACATGACTACTCTATCTAAAGTTATGTTGTTAGATATTTGTTAAATGACTTGAATACCCTCATAATTGTACATCATTTATATAATCAAACTTCCATATTACGTTAAACCCAATGAGGGCATTATTGACAATATAAGATGACAAAGAATACAATAAAGGTGGTAAAATAAATTTGTCTACTGGTTTGGTTCACAAGTCACAACCACTTTGTTACTCGACCTTGTCACACCTCTACTTTTCGTTAATGGGTTGTTTGATTGGTTTTCTGTTAAGTCATGTATGGATAAAATGACTATGTGAATTATTTGTTTGTATGAATTGTGAGAGTTGTTCATAGACTGAAAAAACGTGTTTTTTTTAAACCACAAGGGTGGTGGCTGATTGGTTTGAGTTTGGCTCCAAATATCAAAAGTACCAGCAGGAGGTCCCAGGTTCAAATTCAAGGAGAAATAAAAATCCCCTTGTGGCCATGGAGGTTCAAATGCGGTGACTCCGAGCTATCTGCAAAGCAGGTGGTCACCGTGGGATTAGTCGGCTCGTATAGCGGGTTGGATATCCAAGTTAATAAAAAAAAAAGAACGTGCTTCTTTAGTTTGGAAGAACGAGTTTGGAAAAAGTTGGCTTTATGCATAAAGTTCATCCCTAGAAGCTTACAAAATAAGCCAGTTTCTATATTATTAAGTCAGTACCAAATAGAATAAGATGTGATCATGTGAATACTATTAAGCTCATTAAGTTGTTAACAAACATGCCCATAATCGATCTGTACATGATGTTAAAACTTTTACTTAATTTGTATAAATATTGTTGTATATCTGTCAATGAAATGTAAAATTTTATTGTAAACTGATAACAAAAAATTAATAACACTTCTAATTAATAAAAATTGAAATTTAAGTTTAAAGGTAATTAAAATTGCAAGTGGTAGATAAACATTTCTTACTAATTTGAAGACGTAATAAAAAAAAATGGGACAAAAATATATACATATAAATGAAACTTTAAATATCGTAATGTTGTTTTCTTGTTGGTATATTTTGTATAATTCACATATATATTAAAATTAAGTATTTTACATTTAAAAAATAAAAATATAACTTAATTTTGTTTTCATGATAAAGTATGAGTCCTATTAGCATAAGAAATAGTGTTTACCTTGTATTTTAACGTGTTTATTTCCTTGATTTTATGTTAGTTTTATGAACATTAAATGAAAATTACAGAAAAAAACGTAATAAATCTTCTAATTTTAAATGATTAAGTTCTTGGATTTTTTGTTTCAGAAAAATAGTTTTTAAACTTTTTGTTTAAAATGATTTTAAGTCCCTAAATATTTTTTTAATAAATAAACGGGAAAAGTTCAGAAACACTCATCGAACTTTCCCAATTTGAATTATTATGTCCGTAAACCTTTTTTGATTGGATAAAACCATTGAACTTTCTCAGCTTATGGCTAGGCTTAGCCTCAGCGGCCGTAATTTGCGAGGATGTAGTTTAGAAGTTGCCTAGAAGAACCTCTTCTAGAAAAACCGGGTAGGAATATTTTAACTTAAAAAACCTAAATTAGTTTACCATCCTCAAACCTTACGACATTCAAATCTCTCGTCATCCCTCGTCCCCTCGTATCCTCTCTGTTATTGCCCTTCATCGTTGTTGGTCCATGCCATCGATCTCTCTCTTTTAATTTGATTATTTGTTTGTTTTTCCATTCTCCATTTTTGATATGTCTATACGTGCTCCATTAAATTGTTGTAAAAGCGGGAAAATTGAAAGGAAAAAAAAAGTATATCAAAAAAGGAGGAGGTCGATGACAGGGCCAATGGCGATGATGGGCGGTATGAAGAACGGACAACGATGGGGCAAGAAGAGGCAAGTGAGGACGAGCTATACGGTTGTGTTTGAAGGGTTTGAACGGCGTTGACTCAGGGAACAACAAAACTGATTTAGATTTTTTTTTTTACTTTAAAACATTACGAGTCGGTTACATGTAATATTCGATATGTTAAAATAATTTAGATAACTGGTTTTTTAAAGTTTGATGATTTATTTCGCCAAAAAAATATATTTAAAGACTTAATCATTTAAAATAAAAAAGTTTAATTATTTGTTCGTTCAAAATTTCGAGACTAAATCTATATATATATTAAAGGAAAAACCAAGAGTATTGAGGTGGCATCATGAGTATTAAGTATTGAGGTGTTGGTGAATTGTGGTTGATTTTGAGATATCCCACATTGGTGAAGAGTTGAAAGATTTGAATAAGATGAAGTGTATAA